AAAATGTCAAAGACTAAAGCAAAATAATTAGAAAGAAAAAAAAAAAAAAAAAGGAAAAAAGGAAAAAAGAAAAAAAAAATTTTGTATTACTTTTTTTTTTTATTTTTCTTTTCCTTTTGGGATGAAGGACTTTTTAATTTTGTCTTAATTTTTATTTCAGCTTGGATGACCGGCTCAACAAAAGGAATTGAACTGGGACTGGTCCTTTGTAGATCTGGATTAATTCTTTTTCTTGGGTGACATTAGCAGTCTTTGTCCGAAAGCTGGCAGTTCGGTATCAAGTAAGGATAGATACTCTCGGAACTCTTCCAGTGTTAGTGGAATCATGTCTTAACTTGCAGTATATTTTGATTAGTATCGTCATAAGTTCTAGGTCTACCAGGATGAGCTCTCCCAATGGACTAAAATTCATACTCCGTAATCAATGAATGCATGAATGGAGATGGGAGACCTAGATCCATGATGAAATGGTCCACCCGATACAGGTACCATACCCTATGATTCATTACTGAGTACTAATCGGAACCACTCTAAACCCAAATGACTGCTGCATCCTGCGCCTTAACTCGTACGGTAGTCCGTAGCTCACCCGACACGATCTCTTTTCTTTCCTCCGCATGCATCTGAACAATACGGGAAATCCTCAAGAGCCCTCTCTTATTCGTGATGCATTCGGACAAGGATCGATAGCAGATCTCGGGGAAGTATTAAGAAAGCCAAAGTTACCTAGATTCCCACCTCATTGGGTCCCTATTAGGTAGTAATAGCCCGGATGTATGTATGTATGTACACAGTATATTGCAGTACCGATTTACTCAGATCATTATTTTACCATTTTGTATGGACCAGTAGTAGAGGGGATGGAGGACCTAGGTACCTAGGTACCTAGGTACATTACCCTACTGTCCATGATAACATCATACTTATGCTGACCCACGGTAAATGCAACCCATGTCCATGAAACCTGTCATTAGTATACAAAAAAGCTTTAAGAATGCAACACCTCTCAATCACCCGTGCAGATTCACATAATCTCCCTTTCTTTCTTTTATGTAGGGAGGAGCAAGAATCAACTCAACCGTGCGGTATGCAACAATCCCCAAGGAAGCAAGGAAGCAATAATACCCACACGCGCAGACGGGAAGCAGGCAGAATTTCGTTCAATTAATCAAATGAAACTCGCTGCACGAGATCTGCAAGGACCTGAGCGATGGATGTACATGCAGAGAGACTCCAAACTGCCGGAGGTCGTGAGCTCTTTCTTTTTTCCATTCCGTCCTTAGCCTGTGACTCGTCGAGTTCCGTTCACGTCCATGGGCCTTAATCGTCATAGCCGTATCTCCGCTGGGGTTGTTGACCTTGCTCGGTGGGCATTCATTCGCAGATCGGTTTCCGTTTGCAGCCACGCCGGTCGTCCGGGTCGTCCTTTGAGAGGCTTGAAAGAAGCTCAGAAGACAGCTACTCAGACTTACTTTACACCATCGTCCCAGTCCCAGAAATTGGTCAAAATGTGGGAAAATATAAATTTTTTTATTTAAAAAAAAAAAAAAAGAAAAAAAAAAGACAAGCCTGATCAAAGGAAAGAAGGGGAAAATACATCGACCCCACCAATGCTTCCGAAACCATGGGATCGTGGAGCTCTGGACAATAACGGCCGAAAAGCAGTACGGCCTACGGAGTACTAACTTCTACGAGCCAACCCAAGATCATCCTATGAAGCAACGTGTTATATCCATTTTGGCCTATACGCTAAAAACTAGGGCAACTTTTCCTTGAAAACTGTTTCTATTGTTAATTATAGCGGAGATGGTCCAAGCTGTCCATACTCTACACACTAGGCACCACAAGGGCTGATTCAAAAAAGGCCTGAAGATCACAAAACAACAACTTTCGTTCAGTATTTACTATACAATACGAAAATCCCATCCGCGTAGGCCTGCTTCTCTCTATCTTATTTTCCCTCCTTTGCCTGGTATGAGAAAAGTTCCATCCAAAACCAAGACTAAAAAAAAAGCCCACCGACAATCAGAACCATGGAATCTATGACATTGCCGTTCTTATTGGCTGGAGCATCTGAACCGGCGTGGTTCGTAATTTTTAACATTAGCCAACGACTATCAGGGAATCTACGACTACCTTACTCCATTCGTATTTACAATGGAAATAATACATTTCATTGATCTAATGCAATCCGATGGGGTGTGACATTCTCCACGAGATGGCAGAGATTTTCTCTCAGCCTCGTGAGGTGGGATTTTTTTTTTTTTGTCCTTTTGATTTTTGAATTTTATCTCACTTTTCTAAATTAGGATTTAGCTTGTTCGAACGGTTGAGATTGGTTATGACGGCAACAGGTAGGGTACCTAAAGCTAAATCCACTGCCTGACTGGACGTTAGTACCTGACCTGATCTTCAAGGTATGTACGCGTACGCGACGCGATGAACTAACCTATCAACTTTGATACATGTACCTTGCTTGAGTAATTTTAGAGGGAAGAGGGAAGAGGGAAGAAAAAAAAAGTTCTTTATTTGCAGAGGTAAGTCTCAATGTAAATAAATACCTTTAAACTACTAATCCCTAGGTATGTATGCATGCCATTGTGATTTCGGCACGGAAGTATCAGAACTGTCTCGAGATAACACAAAACCCAAAACATAAGAGAAACATCTCTGGCATGAGTAAGGGATAAGAAAAAGTTCCTTTAGATCCTTCGAGATGTACTCCGTATCGTAAGATGAACGAACCCATATAGTGTGGAAGAGGTAACATTTTCCCTTGCATTCATAATATCCGACTGAACCTTACTCAAGGTATGTGCATTGTGGAGAGACATTATGTAGGTACAGAATTACATATACGGTGATCCGTCCTTACCGAGTGGATATTGGTTGGTCGTCAGTCCCATGCAGGAGACCATTAACCCCCATGCATTAGTAGGTCACCCTCCGTCTTGTTCTTGGTGTGTCTGATATTTTTTTTTTTAAGGTTCAGATACAGTGGAAAAACCAAACAGACTGATGACGATGATGATGTATACTCGCATATGCATTAGCCCCGAGTATATTATGCAAAGATACAGTACGTTTAACAATACTTCCTCCGCATAGACAAGCCTTGTTGTTAATGGATATCAACGTGCACCCATCACGCATTTACAAAGTATAAGATTGGAAAGACTTGGGAACCATGGATCGGGTAATGCCCAACATACCCAACAACCGAAGTCGTCTGACACCCTTGAAACACGGTGAGAACCAGTGTCCGCTCGGGTTTCCATAAAACCTCCTTCCTAACCCGCAGGATAGCCAAAGGAAGACTTGGTGTAAAAAAAAAAAAAGAACAAAAAAAGAAAAGAAAAAAAAAGGGTTCAGCCCGAATGCACTAAGCTCATTTATGCAATCGCATTACTCTTACAACATCGAGATATACTACATGTCAAGATTCAAGACAGCCATGTGGTACACACGACCAAGGTCGCCCAATCCATGATCCACCAACTAACAGTAACCACTAACCCTGTTATTGGCTTAGCTTGGGCAACCGCGGGTTTGGGAAATGGCGCTAAACAATTTGGTTCGGTTCGTCTAGATGGTCTAGATTAAATTCTGATCATGGTACGCGCCAGAAGTTCAAGAGCATCATACCCTAGACTCACTGCGCAACAAAGACGGTCGGATAAAACAGAAGAATACAATGAAAGCCAGGCTGTATGTCGCGTTCAGTCTGACCTATCTACGCGACCAACAAATGAAGCTATACCTGAAAATCAATTAACCCGGTCCACTCAAGGCAAAGGAAGCATTGGTGTAGTAATTTAATGTCAGTACCCGTCATTATCTATATAGGTATCTGGCCAACTTACAGTGTCAAATCCTTCTGGCCCGCACGACCAAAACGATTCTAGTAGTGACCCCTGTACAGGTGCAGGCATGGGGGCGTGTGATAATTCGTCTTGGATATATTCAAGGCAAGTTTAAAGTGTCATCGATGCTCTAAAAGAGCCCAAGATCATTTGGAAGAAAGTCAGTTATATAGCCTCTCCTTACCTGGGAAACAACTGCATAGCGGAGGATAAGGATACTGCCCTCAGCAACGTAGGCGCGGATTCGATACAGAATTTTCCATTATCAGGGTGAAAGGCAATCTTTAGACTAATGAGAATATTGCCTGTGGTGCTCCTTTAGATACATGAATACTTCTTTGCGCTCAAAAACAGTCCCCCGATGCCTTTAGGGAGGAAACTCCAGACCCTTGGTATACATTTTTGTCTACGCCGCTGTAGTGCCAAAGAAAATAACAATAGCAATCCTGCCCAGATGTTCGGGATAAGTTAGTAACTACCCGAGTTAGTAGACCTCAAAGCTAGGCAGAAACGTAAGTGGGCATCTACTAACCAGACTATTGGCTCCGGCTAAGGCTTTTCCACTCACAAGCGGAAATTACTTTGCAAGCCCTGATTTGGTATCTTGATAGTACGATAGGGTATCGATGGATAAACAAAAAGTGTGAAAGTATTCTACCTTCAGATACAACGCATAGTTGTTTGCATGCAGTAGAAAGGAAGGAAGAAAGCTCTGCAGATCACCAAATGCTTTCACTCCTCACATGTCATCCAACAAGGAAGCCGCATCTGCCATATTATGGAGTCGTCAATCACTCAGCCAGAGCCGAATGTTGTTTGGGTGGCCTGATTATGGGAGATTCGGTAGTACCGGTTTTGATTCATTGACGGGTATCAAGGCATTCCATACATGTTATTATTGTTAGAATCATAACGCCTCATTCACTCGGCTCAGCCTGGCAAGCATCTCCAGGAGCCAGATTCGTGTCACAGAATTCTCCCGCTTTCCCCAACTCATCTCCAAGGAGTTGAATCGTCTTCTCGTAAACTCTTGCGGTCTCCATCTCCCACCTTCCGGGGGCTGCATAGTCATCCGTACCGAAGACATCATCCATATCATCATCATCGTCACTGAAGCCATCTTCATCTTCATCGTCAGGACCATCAACTTGCTCTCTGGCCTCCACAACAGCTACACGGCAAGTTTCGGCAATACTTTTAATTCTGACTTTCTCCGTCATGGACACAACATTGCGTCTTGATTCGAAGCCTGGCAGGGGAAGCCCAGAGTCGGCGTCCTCTCCTGTTAGGAGAGATGCAAATACGGAATCCAGCTTCTTAAGTAGACGGAAAGTCGCCTTCGGAGAAAAGGGGTATTCAGGGAGGTATGTGTTAATACACACCGCCAAAGAGATCAAATATGGTATTTGAAGAGATGCTGTGTGAAGTCAGTTAAGTTTCTTGCTAAACTTCTTTCGCTCCACATAGCGAGTGAAGCAGGGTAGATACACATACGGGTCCCAGTCACCCAAAGAACATCGACCAAACCCTCAATATCTTTGGCTACTTCCTTGAAGCTCTCATATCCCCTTTCCGACTCCTGCTGGGCTTGGTCATCAAATGCACTGCTGAACTTCTTGGCGTGTCGGCGATTAATGATCATAATTTTCTTGTCAACGTGATTGATGACAGTGGTTTCTTTTGTTGAACCTGCCTTGAGGGGGTGCAGTCTTGGTCTGGGGAGAATGGATGGAGTAGCGGTGGATGTCGAGGGAGCTGGAGAGGAAAGAGACGGCTGTATAAACCCCCCTGTCTCTGGATGTGATGTAGTAAAAGACATGGACAAAAGTTATATATAAAAGGTATACAAGGGTAGGTCTTCGCGAAAAATGATACAAAGAAAACGAACGCGGATCACACCACTTTTGTAGAGTGGCAACGGTTTCAGCAGTGAAATGCGCACAAGTTCAGATAAGACTACTATCCAGCCCTATGCAGATATGCTAGCAGAAACAATAGGAATACAGGGTTCCTTATCCTAAATACCTGGTCGTGTATGAAGTTAGCAGGTACATTGCAACGACATCGATCATGTGCAACTGAAGATGTCATGCCAAGCCCTGGAAATAGAATAAACACGGTGGTCTGTGCGCACTACAGACTGATTATATCTACTAAGACAAGGCCGCAAGCAATGGTCCCATGACAGGAGAAGATATAGTTGTAATTTAATCTATTACATATAAGGAGATAAAATCACAGGTATAGCTAATGCCCACCTTGGTATGTAGAATCCAGAAGTAGGTATACATTTTGATCTCACAGCTCCGTGACCGTAATATTTGGAAGGAAATAAAAGTACCTAGTCGGAGTATCAGTTGTCAGCAGGTGTCCTAAATCTGCAGCAATATTCTATAGACAAAAGATGGTTGCTTAATGCTTCAGAAAGGTGAGAAGATATTGGTTTCGCTGGTTTTTGAAGGCATGGCATGACATCGACCAAGGTCGAGTCTTGCTCTCCTCTGGCCCCAGCGGCCTCATCATCGGTATGGAATATAATGGGACACAGTGCAAAAGATGAACAAAAGATGTGCACTTCACTCACAGCCACTTCGCACGTACATCTCCAATCCATGAGGATGTCAAAACTTTTAATCTATCCCAAACGCCATGCTAAGAATCGATGCCGACACACAATAAATGCATTATTCAGGCTAATAAGTCATCAGCAATGGGACCCCCTTGGTTGTAAGAAGAAAAAGGGAAATAGGAAACAGAATTGAACTCACCCTAATCTTTCCCTTCCGTTTCTTCATCTCCTCCAGCTTCTTCTTATCCTCATCGAACTTCTTCAGCAACTCATTCTGCCTCTCCTTCCTCTTCTCTCTCGACTGGAACCGATAGAAGTCCTCCAATCCTTGAGACTTCTGCTTCTGCTTCTCTATCAACTCCCTAGCCTCATCTTCGTGTGCAACAGACGTAAGCTTCGGCCCACTCGTAACCGTAATAAACCCATCCTCGTCCGGTTCCTGTGCCCTGAGTGCCTGCTCCTTCCTCCTAGCCTCTGCAACAGTTTCAAACATCGTCATGAAATCGTTCACCGTGCGCAGCAACTCCGCGCGGGGAGGATACCTGGCCTGTTCATGGTTAAGATAACGCTGCAAGCCCAACTGAGGAAGACGGTCCTCGATGCCTTCGCCCCAGACAAGTTCCCCATCCTTCTTTTTGCCTGCCTTCTTGGCCGCTTTCACACTGGCCTCCATGCTGGGCTTATCGACAAAGACGACGACCGCATGCGCACCGCTTTTTTGAAGTTCCCGGTCCCACATAGACGGTAATGTGACATTATCCAGCTGATTCTGTAGTTCATCGGCTGTCACTCTCTTTCTCTTTTTGCTTTTCGAGACATTCGCGACCATGCTATGCGCCGTGGCCATTCCTCCCTTTTTCTTCGTCGGTACGCTTTCGAAGTGAACTCGCTCTACACGGCCGGCGGCTAGCTGGGTCCCGAATAAGTGGCGCAGATGTAGCTCTGTCGTGTCGAGAGGAACATTGACTACGAATAGCGAGCGGGGTGTATCAGCGTCGGGAATGCGTGGTTCATGAGGTCGGAGGTAGAGATAATGTGTTGCGGGCTTTGCACGCTTTGACTCGGCGGGGGGCAAACGAAGCGGCAAGACGGTGTAGCCAGCTATTTCTAGATCCTTTCCCATTTTTACAATGTGTTTTTGGTAAAAAAAAAATGGGGATCTAAAAGAGAAGAAGATAGTTGGGTTGATGGGTTTATTGCGCGGAAGAAATTCTGGCGGGAAATTTTATTTCAGTCGGGAAGGCGGAGAAGATAAATATTTTTATCTGATAAATAAATCAAATCCCATTCTAGAATCCAGACTACCTGCGCACCACATTACACATGGAATCAGACACCTAATGTACATTTAATACGCCAATCATAGCACATGGTACTCTCCTCAGAAGAAAACCAACCACTAGCATTTATCAATATCAACGCCCTGAATAATGCCCATCCTGATCTGTGCATCACGATAGAGCTGTTGCATTCTACACCTTATCGGGATCATTGATACCACCATTAGTGATCACGTAGGTCGCTTCTTGCTCCGGGCAATCTAGATCTGTCAGCTAGGGTGGTCTTGCTAAATTCAGAAGAACTATACCTGGTGAGTCCTGAATTTTTGCAACACGTTCGTCTCCGCGGCCTTTGCGAAGAAGAATTCGGGTTGTGGATGCATGCGCTAGGACATGGCCACCCACAGGCTTGCGTCCATCTGCACCCGCAAAGAGGGCACTCGCACCAGGATCACTCTGGACTTGATTTGTCTATCTTTGTATGAGATTGACATCCTCCGCGATAATAAAAGCGACTCACCATTAGGACGCAAACATTGAACTCTAAAGTGATATCTTATTAGTCCACAAAATCAAAGGGCCAGAATAGGAGCACAGACCTTCAGCCATATGGGAAAGCTTCATCAGAAACTGATTGAGCTTCTGCTGACGGTCCGCAAGTTCTCCACGCCCACAGTAATCCACCCGGAAGCAATTCATGATACTGTCAATGATCAAAAGACGATATTCTCCACCAGTGAACTCTTTGCTCAGGGTATTCAGCAATTCCAGCTGATGTTCACTGTTGAGAGCTCGTGCATAGGCAATATTCTCCCGAGCGGAGTCTGCATCAACGCCGAATCGTTCGGCAATCTGTGCAATACGCTCCGGTCTGAACGTGCCTTCGGTGTCAATGTAAGCAACTTTGCCGTCTGCACCGCCCATTTCCTTTGGAAGCTGTGCGATGACGGACATAGTATGTGATAGCTGTGTCTTGCCACACCGGAATTCCCCAAATACTTCGCTAATACTCATGCTTTGGAAACCCCTGAGACCGTCAGTGGTTCTTTACATGGTGATAGTGCATACGACTTACCCTCCCAAGATAGCATCAAATTGCTTGCTCCCTGTTGAGATACGAACGACTCTCTTCCGCTGATGGCTCAACTCCATTGCCGTGATAAATCCAGACGCAGATGGCTAGTTGAATCAGCCACCGCGCTATACTCTTAAACTATGTCTTTGCATACCAAGCACTTGTTGATGGCATCCTTGATCTTTTCAACTTTGACCTCGCTGAAGCCCCTGATCTTCAGAAGGGTCTTTCGGGTAGCCCCATGAACGGACTAAGCAAAGTAAACATAAGAATATCTAAGAACCTAAATGGCTTTCGTCTGTAAAGGCCGTGGGACGTACAGCAACAGTATAGAAGCCATTAGTCTTCAATTTTGTGATATCGGCAGCACCGACCCCTGTTCGTAGTGAGATTATACTTTACATTGATCATCGGAAGGTATACCATGAGCTTGGATGCTGTCAACGTCCACGATGAAGACCTATAAATGCCACAGCCCAGATTAATTAGAAATCACGATCTAGATACAAGTGAAGAGCGTGAGATCTGAAGAGAAATCAACGGAAGAAACTCAACATCATCATTAAACTCATCACTTGAATCAGAGCCGGGCATGATGTCTGTGTAAATGAGATCCCAGTTTAGGTTACAGCGGATATTGCGAGTTAAGTTTCTTGGGAGAGCACTGAGGAGAGGCGGATGAACTGCGACTCGAATTAAAGAAAAGCCAGGGTCACGAGCCTTTCCATAACAGGAAATCGTCCAGAACTACTAACCAACATAGCAGGTCATGGGTTGGACAACCTTATGGGGATGGTAATCCGGAGGCAGTCCATAGAATGATGTCTCAGAGGATATAGCTAGGCTAAGGCCAAACGGAATGAGGGAATCTTATGCAATCGAGGCTAGTCAGAGATCTATCGTGATAGGAATAGAAAGCCTGAACCTGGAAGATATGAGATACAACAAGAGAAATCCCTTCTCAGAGATTGGAATGAGTGCAACGATACGAAGAAAAACAACAGTGGAACTTAAGAAAAAGTGGAATTTGCTTTTCTGCTTTTTTTTCTTGCTTTTGCTTCCCATTCATCAGATATAGAGAGTATAGTACGGAAAGATGAGGTAACCACCGCGCCAGGTACCATTCTTTGATCACCAATGATCTTCAGTACCACAATCCCATCTGTACCATCTTGAAGCCTTTTCCTATGCATATCAACGCGTCTGCTTTGGTCCACATATGTCTCTCCTGCGCTCAATTAACCCTTCGCCTCGCCTCGTCTCCTTCTTTTTTTTTTTTTTTTTTTTTGCCGCACCTATAATTCAAAATTTGAAAGATACCCGAGGGAACAATAGACGCCAATCGTAAGAACCTGAGCCATGTATAGGATCCAAACCGTAAGGGAGCCTAAGACTTCGTGAAACTTTTGTTCGTCGTATACATAAGAGGAATAGAAAAAGGCCGGTGCCGAGAACTGAAACACGGGGGCGTAATATATGCAAAGGAAGATACATGGGAGTAGAAAGAAATCAAGACCGTAGTCGGCAAGCCCTAATGCAATAACGAAAAAAGGAAACAGACTCCCAAAAATGGGATCGATAAATTTCGGACCGCACAGCTGTTTATGCGACAGCGGTGGTAGGAGCAGCAGGCGCAACAGGAGCGGCCTCTGTGCTAGTCTCAGCGGCGCCGGCGGCGCCGGTAGCAGGGGCAGCTGGAGTAGCAGCAGCGGTGGTAGGCTCAGCAGGCTGCTGGTTAGCGGCCTCATTGTTAGGGCAGTCCCGGGAGATGTGGCCAGCCTGAGCACACTTGTAGCAGACCTTGCCAGCAGAGCTCAAGGGGCCACCGTTGGGGGCGGTGCAGTCACGAGAGATGTGGCCCTAGGAAAAGTTAAAACCCATTAATCGAACAACACAGGTGGCCTGCATATTGTACTCACAAGCTTGCCGCAAGCGTAGCACTTCATAGCCTGAGCCTGGCAGTCACGGGCGAAGTGGTTAGGGCCACCGCACTTGTAGCAAGTGGCAGCGCGAGGATAACCACCGTATCCGCCGCGGAAGCCACCATTGAATCCACCACGAGTGGCACCGACACCGCGGCCAGCGCCGGAAGCAGGAGCCGGGCAGTTGCGCTGGGACAAAATCAGTTAACCTCTATTCTGACGATACCTCGAGCATAATAAACATACAGCAAGGTGACCGGGCTGGCTGCAGTTGTAGCAACGGCCATTAGCGCCATTGAGACGCAGAGTAGGACAGTCGGCCTGAACGTGGCCTAGACCCTGGCAGTTGTAGCATTGCTTGGCTAGAAAAAACATGTCAACCTTCTTATTATTTCCTTCTTGTCAACTAGGAATCCTTACTCTCGGTAGTACGAGGACGGGGGCAGCTGCTGGACTCATGGCCTATCGATGCATTAGGTTTCGGTACTAGGAAAGTAGAACGCATGGTACCTTACCAGGCTGCTTGCCTTATCAAGAATAACCTATTAGCGAATAATACTTGGCAATTGCAAGTAAGAAATGTCACTCACAGTTGTAGCAGAGACGCTCAGACGAAGAGCACACCTCTATCGGCCCGTTAGCGAAATCCGGCAGATTGATAGTCCTCGACTGAGGTGACCAACCGGCATAGTGGCCAATATTGCCACACTTGTAGCACGCACGGCGAGAAAGCAACATCTTGTCGGTATACTAGCTAGCCAGAAATATTATTGTCAGTCGCTATGCCAAACAACCACTCGTCTTGTAACTCGGTTCGTAGAGGATATCTTCTTGCATGGTCTGTGGAACGAACGCCGCGGAATTCAAGGGCCGGTAAACCAGCGATGTAAAAATTGTATGTGTTTGCTCTCGCAGTCTTTTTGAACCATTTTGGACCGTCCGAAAATCGACAAATATAGGGAGGGAAAAAATGTGCGCATGTGAAGCACATCAAGAAAAAGTTGAGGAATCGAGCGGCGCTTGGGCGCCCTCCAGTACAGCAGAGATGCCAAAAGTCACGAGAGGTTTCCGAGAACTTTGGAGAGACTCACTCTTCCTAAAACCAACAGCAAACTTCAAATCTCCTTGTCAAATATGCTGGATTTGACCGTCAACTTGAGAACCTTGGAGGAGGAGCAACACTTCTAACAGCCCACTCTCGACACTGGAAAAAAGTGGGCTGACAAAGAAAAAGCGACTAA